GGGGGGTGTGGAGGTAGGGAGAAAGAGGGAGAGACAGACAGAAAGAGACAGACAAACAAAAGGACAGACAGACAGAGATGAGCATAAACACAGGCAAAACAAGTGGGAGCATAATTCAGTACTAAAAAACAACCACACAATTAATGGAAAATTTGAGAGGCCAAGATGTTGTAGTCTTCAAACACAGTCCCCACAGTTAGTCTGAGTTAGTATGTCACCAGTCACCAGCAACCTGTAAGCAGAGCACTCCACAAGCAAGAACACAGTGTGTCAACAGAGGGTTTTTCTGACATTGCCTTGTAAAGACTCTAGTGCAGTAAAAAAATTCATGCCTTAACTTATCCTCAAATATCTCTTTAATTAATAATGTCACCCATACTTCGCACAGCATTTTGCATCAATTGGCGTAACTTAATCATATAATTCTTCCACAATAATTGAGGTCAGATAAAAAAAACTTTTCTTCATTTTCCTTAGTAAATTCATATAAAATACAATAAAATCTCTGTCAAATGGAAAATGGGATTGTTCACAGCACTACCCGCTTCTCACACACATTTTGCAAACACATATGACCTACGACACAGCAAAACTCGTTACAAGTGAACATATTTCTTGCACTAAAGATTCTCAAAACAGGCATTCAAAAAGCATAATGTCTCAATAAGAAAAAAAATGACGGACTTGCATTTAAAAGCGACATTGCCCCATCTGTAAACCTTTTAAAATCTGTAGAAACCATCCACTTGGATTTTTTTAGGATTCATTAAGGAATTTTATAGCATATACAGCTAACAGGAGTTACAAAAATATTGATCTAGTCAATTACCTTTTAGAAATACTACTGTAGTACATTTTTTTTACCGTAGATTGTTATTTTTTCGTAAAAGAGAGGGATTCATGATTTTTATATTCGAATCTCGCCTGATGCGGTCGTGAATCAAACCTGTGGAATTCATGATTTCATCAGTAGGCTTTATGGAACGCAGTGTTGTATTCACGGTTATAGGCAGTGTGTTTTCTCTTATTAGAGGCCCTGGTATGTTTAAAAATATATGTTCGCTTTTAAGCACTGACCCGAAAAATGCTGTTTTGAGGAAATTGAAGGTAAAGTTTTTACCCCTTGTTCAGTTTCATTAAAAGACAAGGAGAGTTTTCTCTATAACCAAACAAATATACACATCAAAGAAACCAAATTTCTCCTATAGGAAGGACAACGCACACTTTTGGTGTAGGTCAAGAATTCTGGAAACCCCCAAAATCTGGGTTAGCCCGCTTGCCCTTAAAAGCGACCAAATGAAAGCATGAAATATTGTTATACAACAGATTTTAAAAGACCAGTTTAAAACTGAGTATGAAATTACAGACTGAGTGAAACAGAAAGCTATTCATTATTTTATCACTATAAACATCTATCATTCTTACATGAATGGGATATTGTATGTAATTTATGAAATCAGACTCCTTCATTTGCCTGCTCTCTCTCTCTATCCTTCTTTCTCCAATTGTGCGTAAGTGTATGTCTTTTTTATTGGGCGCTGGGAGGCGGGGGGTGATTGGTTGAGAACTTTACTTGTATCAAACTTGTATACCCTGTCAATGACTGAATTATCATCTTTTATTATCTTACCCTTTTTTGTCTCTCAGATCTTGAAAATTACTCTTTGCGATTTTTAAAGGAGAATGATACAGTGGTGGGGAACTGTTTGTTAAGTTTTCCTTGTCTCTTGACTTTAGAAGACTCTCCCACTCTTCGTTAGAGTTCACTTCGCAAAGGATTTCTTCATATATATATATATATCAGAGGCTTCATATTGCATTAACAGTTTGGTTTTCTTTTTGTCTACCCAACCTGACAGTTTTGCGGACTGCAATTTTGGCAAAATCATGGAGGAAAATGTGATATAGGCCTACTAATTTCTCTTTAAAGGGTCTTCGTTGATTTCAATATAAAAATCACAGTTCTGAAAATGGCAACATAATCTACTGGGCTTTATATTTGTGTGTTTTATTTAAAGCCACCACTCAATGACACCATGCATACTATCTACTCGCATTTGAGTGTGGCTTCTAATAAGATTTTGTATTTAATTTCGGTGTTTGCTTCAGTGGAAAAGGCACCCACAGCATTAGAAATACATGCAATTTTGTGCTGATACCAAGGGGAGTACTGTATAGTACTCCTTGGCTGATACACACACACATACTCACACACACACACACACAAACACGCACACACACACACACACACACACACACACACACACACACACCCAAACACACACACAAACACACACACACACCCAAACACACACACACACACACACACACACACACACACCTGTAGCTGTATGATAATATATTGTTACAAACTTCTGAACTTTTGTACACGTTGAGAAAAAGTCCATCAAACAACTTGTGAATTCATTTGCAATCAAACCACCTTGTGCCTTGTGTCATAAGTAATAGAAGGCATCTTACGAGGTTGCATTGAAGACTATGTGCATGCTTTTGAAACAAGAGCTGGAGGAATTGATAGACAGTGCCAAAAGTACATCCTGAAGATTCACCTAAATCATCTGAAGGTTTTCTTGCCCAAAAGCAAAAGTTTTATCCATGGCGTGCCCTTTCTTTGTCATTTTTTTTACTGACATGTGAGATTCCCACTTTTAGTCTGGCTTACGTTGTCAAGACTTAAAACTCACGCACAATTCACATTGATCTTTTTTGGCTCACAGATCGACATGTTCTTTTCATCTAGCACATATTTGAGTAGTCTGACATACACGGCAGATTGTCCCTGCACTGTTCAGGCTGTATTGTAAAACCAATGAAGCTCCGACAGATTACAGAATCAGGGATCAAGATACTGTTTTCCCGAGCTTTGCTGTCAATAGTGGGAGGGAACCTACGGAAGCATGTCCGCAGATGTGAACAGAAACTCCTTGGCTTGCACGCCCCTTGTGGATTGTTCGGTGGTGCAGCTGGGTTCGGCTCTTCTAAAGCACTCTCTACAAAGAGCTGGAGAATCCAGATTGTCACAAACAAGTGCCTGAGGAAGTTCTTAAGGATCAAATGGACAGACAGTCACCAAAGAGGAAGTATTAAGCAGAAAATTTTCAGACAGAAGAAAGCAGAGGAGATGGATTGGACTGAGCATACCATCTGGAATTCAGGCAGCTACATAACAAAGAAAGTTTTAACTTGGAGACCACAAGTTAAACGATCAAGGGAAAGCCATGTGGAACCTGTAGAAAAGTCGCAGAGAATGATGAACAGAAAAGTGGAAAGACATTTTTAAAATAATATGAACAAGTTAGCCCAGGGTAGGGAATAGTGAAAAGTG